CTTGAAGCTGAGATCTCTCATGACCAGTTGCCCGAGGTGCAAGCCAGACGTCAACCAGTCGTCTGGGAGCTCGTCGTACGACAGGGCGGAGGTTTGCTTATTGTTTATGGTTTCCCGTTGGACGAGATTCCGCACGACCAGCTCCGCCGAACCCCCTGGCTCCACTTCCTCGTCCTCCCGCCGCGGCCTCGTCCTCCTCCTCTCGCCGAGGCCCGCTGAAGCCTCCCGCTCCTCGTCGCCCCCTCGCCGCGGCCTCACCCTCCTCCTCCCGCCGAGGCGCCCCGAACCCTCCCGCTCCTCGCCATCCTCCCGCCGCGGCCTCGCCCTCCGCACTCCCCCCTGCCGGCTCCACCGCCCGCCGGGGGACGCGCCGCGCCTCGCCTCGCCGCCCCGCCGCCTCGCCTCGCTGCGCCCGCCGGGCGGGCTGGCCGCGGCCTCGCCGCGACCGCGCGCGTCGCGCCCGCGCCCGGCCGCGGCCCGGCGCCCCGGCCCCCCGGGCTGCCCTCGGCCGCGCCCGCCGCGGCGCCGCGCGGGGCGGCGCGCGCGGCCGCCGGCGCGGCTGCCGGCGCAGGCTGGGGTGGGGGCGGCTAGGGGGCGAAGCCAGGACGAGGATCAGTCCGAAGGAAGACACTTTAGAGGAGGAGGAGGAGGAGGAGGAGGAGGAGGAGGAGGAGGAGGAGGAGGAGGAGGAGGAGGAGGAGGAGGAGGAGGAGGAGGATCAGTCCGAACGAGGGCAGAAGATGCCCCCCCCACAGTAATCACCGCGACGCGCGAAGCCGTTCGGTCAACGCACCCGCAGCAGGAATCGAGCAGGGCAGGGCTGTGTAGTAAACGTCCCTCAGGGCCGTTTAGTAGAAGTCGATTATAGAAGGTCCGGGTGGTTTTTCCTCCCTTGAGGCACATCGGAAATCTCTGCGAGCCGGCGGCTCTATGGAGGACGTCTCGGGCGCCGCGGCGCTCCCGGAGCGCTCCGGAACGCTCTGAGGGCGTTCCGGCACGCTCTGGCACGGACTGATCCTCGGCCTGGCCCCGTCCGAGGCGGCGTGGGGTGGGGGCGGGGGGCCGCGGGCGCGGGGCGGGGGCGGCGGCGCGGCGGGCTGCGCGGCGCGGGCCGGGGCAGCGGCGCGCGCTCTGCGCGCAGGCGCTGCCTCTGGCAGGCCCGCAGCGCCTCCTCGCGCGCGTGCCGGAGCAGCTGCTCGGCGTCTGCGAGGTCGGCGTCGGGCAGGACGTCGGAGGGCGCCAGCGCAGCTACGGTCCGGAGGCCTGTGCTGCGCGTGTCGCGGCGGCGGCCCCGGCGGCACGCCCTTGCAAGCGGGCGTCGGCTGCACGCAAGGAGTGACCCTGGGTAGTATAAGAGTGACCTCTGATGCGCGGCTTCTTGGGGGCCGCGGGGGAGCCAAACACAAGCGCGCCAGACGCTGGTATACCGCATCGCGTTCGGCGACCGGGGGGCCCCACTGGGCCCGCACCCAAGGTCACCCCGGCGAAAGGTCGCTCTCTCGCGCAGTCGGGGAGAGCGCGTCGCCCGCTCCGCGGGGCGGGAGACCAGGACAGGCTTGGGCCGTCGACCCCTGGGGGCTGAAAGGTGGACCGCGCGTCGCTCCGAAGCGCGGTGGGCCCAAATGCGGCGGCGCGACACGAAGAGCCAATACTCCTGGCCGTGAGCGCGCGCACGCTGGCCAAGCCCATGCTGCGCCCGGGATCGGTGCATACACCCCCTCCTGGCTTGGGCGCGGAGGGAAGCGTCTACTCAAGTCCAGGGTTCAGGCTGGTCGTGGCCAGGGTCGGCGCACAAGCATGGTCCCACCCGCCCTTTGGGCCAAGATGGTCTGGCGAGTTCTTTCTTCCCTCTTCCAGAAACCTCTTCCCTTCCGAGTGGTTTAACCCCCCCCTCTCTCTGAGTTTTTTTTTGGGGGGGGGGGCGGGCGCCACGCGTTAGGGCGCCCAGGATGGCCCAAGATGGCTACAAGAGGGCTTCCGACGCTCCAAGATGGCCTCCAAGATGACTCAAGACAGCCGACGATGGTTCAAAATAGCTTCCGACATACCTCGAAGATACCCGACGAGACCACAAGACGGTTCCAAGTGCTCTCGGAGCCCCCTCAGGACCCCCCCACGAGGCCAACATCCATCAAACACCAACGGAAAATCACCGATGTTTGCCTTCTCGTCTTTTCGCTTCTGATGCGCTCCTGAGGCCTCAAGATGGTCCCGAGATGGCCCAATAGAGGCCCAAGAAGGGCCCAAGAAGCCCCCCAGACGGCCCCAGCAGCGCCCCAAGAGGGCCTCAAGAGCGCCCCAACAGGCGACGTTGGTGTTCCAGGGGGGGGGGGGGGGGGGGGGGGGGGGGGGGGGGGGAAATCCGGACCTCCCTTTTTGATCGATGGCCTCCGAGATGGCCCGAAGAGGCCCTCCAAGGCTCCCAAGGCACTCGCAAGAGCCCCAAGAGGGCCCTAAGACCCCCAAAGGAGCTCCAAGAGGACCCTAAGATCCTCCGAACGAGTCCTAAGAGGGCTCCAAGAGGCACTTTCGAAGGCTCTGCCTTAGTCCTCGTCATCCTCGTTGTCCTCCTCTTCCTCCTCCTCCTCCTCCTCCTCCTCCTCCTCCTCCTCCTCCTCCTCCTCCTCTCATATCGTCCTCCTCCTCCTCTCCTCCTCCTCCTCCTCTTCTCCTCCTTCTCCTCCTCCTCCTCCTCTCATATCGTCCTCCTCCTCCTCCTTCTCCTCCTCCTCCTCTTCTCATCTTTTCCTCCTCCTCCTCCTCCTTCTCCTCCTCTCCTCCTCCTCGTTCTCGTCTTCGTCTCGTCCTTGCTCTCATCGTCTTTCTTTTCCTTTTCCTCTTCCTCGTCGTCGTGGTCGAAGTCTTGGTCGTCGCCGTCGTCGTCGTCATCCTCCTCCTCCTCCTCCTCCTCCTCGTCCTCCCCTTTCCCTCGCCCACACGCGTGTGCCAGGGATGGCCCGAAGAGGCCCTCCAAGGCCACCCCCTTGCTCCCAAAGATCTCTCTGCTCACCCTGGTTGCCCGCTTTGTTTCCCTACACGTGTCTCTTCGTCCCTTTCCCCTGTCAGCTCTCACGGGCTTCCGAAGGGGCCGGCGGGGATACGCGAAGCGTGAAGCAGCAGCTGGCGCCCTCCGAGGATGGGCCGCGCGTCGATGAGGCGGTCCTCGAGGAGCCTGATCGGGCTCTTGCACGTGCGCGCGCGCACGGACTCCGCGGCCTTGGCCAGCTCGGCGAGCGCCTCCTGCTTCCGCTCGAGCGCCCGCTCGGCCTCCGCGAGCTCTCCGGCGTCGAGCAGGCCCCGCGCCCTCTGCAGGGCCGACTGCAGGCACGCGATCGAGCACCTGGCGTCCCGCATGGTGCCCTCGAGGGCGTCGCGCCCCCGGTTGCGGTCCTGCACGGCCGCCAGGGCCCGCTCCGCCAGCTCGACGTCGCGCGCTGGCACCTCCTGCAGGCGCGCCTCGTCGATGGAGGTCCTGAGCAGGGTCACCGCGCCCCGGTCCCTGTCCAGCTTGCCGGACGCCACCTCCTCCCGCGCCTTCTCCATGTTCCGGAGCGCCTGGCGGCGCCGCTCGACGGCCTTCTCCCGCTCGAGGGAGCCCCTCGCCACTCGCATGCAGTCCTCGTCCTCTGGCAGCCCCGCGTCCAGCCCCCTCCTCAGCGCCTGCTCCAGCTTCGAGATGGCGTCCGCCCACCGCGGCAAGGCCATCGCCTCGCCCAGCTCCAGGCGCGCACCCCTCCGCTCCTTCAGCGCCCCCAGCGCCTCGCGAGCCGCCCTGGTGTCGATGGGCTCGATGGGCAGCCCGACGTGCAGGGCCGCGCGGCGAATCGACGCCTCGAGGGGCCCCTCCGTGGCATTGTCGGAGGCGGGGTCGCGATTCGCATTCGCGACCTCGACATTCAGGTCGAGGGCATCCCTGCTCTCCTGGTACTCGCTCATGGCCTCCACCCTCTCGACCAGCGCCTGCGCACTCCTCCGCACTTTCCAGAGCACGCGCAGCGGCTCGATGAGCGCCTGCCTGCCGCGGGCGGCCGCCTCGATGGCCGCCCAGGCATCCTTCTGCTCGCGGGCCTGCCTGACGATCTCGTCGTTGACCCAGTCCTCCCCGAACCTCGGTGTCGCAGCCCCCTCCTCCTTCGGCACGTCGGGCTCTCAGAGTCGGGCCGGGCGAAAGGGGGGATAGCAAAGGGGGGTGGGGAGAATCGGCTCACGCAGCTGACTTCCTCGGCGCAGGGAGGCGCGCCCATGTCTCGAGGCATGGGGCCCGGCGACGGGGCCGAAACCAGCTGCACGCAGCAGATCTCGTCGGAGCGCCCCCCTTCCCGATCGCCCCCCCCTCGTCCGGCCCGACGGAGGGCCGCGTGGGCAGCCCGCCCCGCCGCCCCGGCCTCCGCCTCGCCGGGCACCTCGCTCTTGGCGCGGCCCGCCCCCTCGCCGGCGGCGCGCCGAGGCGCGCCCGGCTCCCCGGGGGGCGCGCGGGCCTGCTGCTGCCGCTGGGCGGCCCGCCCCGCCGCCCCGGCCTCCACCTCGCCGGGCGCCTCGCTCTTGGCCTCGCCGGGCGCCTCGCTCTTGGCGCGGCCCGCCCGCTCGCCCGCGGCGCGCGCCGCCCTGGGGAGGCCCTCCATCGCGCCGCGGGCAGCGGCGGGCGGCGGGCGGGCCGAGGCTGCGGAGCAGAGGCGCCCGGGCGGAAGCGGCCCGCGGCGCGGGGCCCGGGCCCCGCCTGGCCAGCGCTGCCCGGCCCTGGCGACGAGAAAGCCCCAGCTCGCGCCGGAGAGTCCCGCGGCCGAGGCGCCCTCCCGGCCAGCTCCTCGAGCAGCCTCCGGCCGTGGCGACGAGGACCTCCAGGAGCGCGCAACAAAAGCGTCCGCCACGAACACGGCGGCGGGGGCGGCCACGACGACGACGACGACGACGACGACGACGACGACGACGACGACGACGACGACGACGACGACGACGACGACGACGGGGAGCGCGCTGGGCCGACCGGCTGAGGCCCGGGCGGACGGCGTGCCCAATGGCCGCGATGAGCGGCGCCACCATCTCCTGGGGAGGAGGAGGAGGAGGAGGAGGAGGAGGAGGAGGAGGAGGAGGAGGAGGAGGAGGAGGAGGAGGGAGGAGGAGGGGGAGGAGGGGGAGGAGGAGGAGGAGGAGGAGGAGGAGGAGGAGGAGGAGGAGGAGGAGGAGGAGGGAGGAGGAGGAGGAGGGGGAGGAGGAGGAGGAGGGCCCCCCCCGTGGCGTGGGGGAAGCGGGTCCCTGCAGGAACCTCGGGTGCTCGTTCTGGGGGCCCTCCCGGGGCCACTCGCTCTCTCCACTCGCGCATCGGTGCTGCGTCGAACGTCCGTCGACCCGATTCGAACCTGAGCCGAGCTGGAGTGGAGCTAGAAAGCTGGAGTCGACATATTCGAACTGCTCCGAGGCGAAGAGATCCGCTGGGCGGGCCCCAGTTCGGAAGGTCCCCCGAAAGGGCACGTACACGTCGGTCGGAAGAAGTAGGTAAAAACATGAAGTAGGAAGGCGGATCAAGTACAGTGGGTTCACGCCTTCCCGCGTAATAACTAGCAAACACAGCAAACGCATCTCGATTCTTCAAATAGGAAGGCGCTCAAAGCAGACTGGAGCCTCGGGATAACGAACAACAGCTCACTTTCAGCGACCGACGGGTAAGCACATTTGTTGTGGAGATCTTCCCAACATCTCCGACGATGTGTGGGCGACGATCAAAAACGCGTCTTACGCGACACGACACGGCGACCTTAGGCCTTAGGCCGCAGCTTGCGCGGGCCGCCAGCGCGGCACGCTACCATTGGAGACGAGGGCGCTTGCGCGAGACCCTACGCGGTCCACTTGCGCGCCAATGTCGGCGCAGACGACGCCGTTTTGTTGCGTCGCTCACGCTTCCTGCGGCGATGTCGGCGGCTTCTCGGGATCCACTGAAGGGGGGGGTGACCCTGAAGGGGGGCATGAACTCAATCCGCTGGTGCACCGAACTGCCGTAAACAGATGCCCCCCGCATGCCCCGCTTATCGGCAACTATCAGGAGCTGCCAGCGGCTGGGGGGCATCTGCTTTGGGCGGTCCGCGCAAAACAACTATCGAACTCCCCCCCCAAACCGGGGCACACACACCCTTTGCGGGATCCCGAGCTCTTCTCGCTCGCCTCGGCCTCCGCTGGCCGCTTCCGAGAGACCTCTGGGACCATCACGTGTGAACGGGCCCTGGGGACGAGAAGCCGCCCCTCTTGCAGGGAAGGGGGCCGAGACTCTGGGACCGCGCCTGGGGCAAAGCACCTGGCATCCAAACGAACAAACATCGTCATCGTCGTCATCATCGTCGTCGTAGTCATCGTCATCGTCGTCGTCGTCATCGTCATCGTCATCGTCGTCCTCCCTCTCTCCCTCCTCGAGTCGGGCGCGCCGGAGCAATCGCCCGGGCCAGCTCCCCAGACAGTTCTTTCAACACACCTGGGCCCACTTCTTTGGTCGATGCTGCAGGGGCGAGCGTGCTGAAGAGACTGGGCCAGCTTTCCGGCACATCGGTTCAGAAACGCTGGCCCGGCTGCTCGGGAGGAGCCGCTTCATCACAGACTCGGGGATGGACAGAACCCCCTTTAGTAAAACGTGGTTTAGTGAAAACGACGTCGGGCCCAAACCTGGAGGGCGCAAGCCTGTAAAATGACGGCCGCAGCGCCCTCTCGAGAACCGAAAACGGACAATTCGCTGATCGACGTGTCAGGGTGGGGGTTCTGTCCACCCCCGACAGACTCGACCGTAAGATGCAGGACGTCCTGGCCCGTGGCTTTCGAGCCCCCCGGGCCCTCCCTGGGTCCAGGACCGCCAACATGAGGCTCCGGGAGGAGGAGCCGAGGAGTGTCAGAGGCCCGTTTCCGTCAGAACCCCTCTCCCTCTTGGCGATCCTCTCCTCCTCCTCCTCCTTCCTCCTCCTCCTCCTCCTCCTCCTCCTCCTCCTCCTCCTCCTCCTCCTCCTTCTCCTCCTCCTCCTCCTCCTCCTCCTCCTCCTCCTCCTCCTCCTCCTCCTCCTCCTCCTCCTCCTCCCTCCTCTTCCTCCCAGAGGCGGGAGGCGACGACCCCATCGCGGCCCCAACACTGGTCGTCATCATGCTCTGGGGGCTCCCGTCGGTTCGGGCTCGGGGCTTCCAATCATGTCGCGTCGTCGTCGTTGTCGCCGTCGCCGCCGCCGCCGTCGCCGCCGTCGTCGTCAACGTCAACGTCAACGTCGTCGTCGTCGTCGTCGTCGTCGTCGTCGTCGTCGTCGTCGTCGTCGTCGTTGTCGTCATCTGGGGGGACCAACAAATACCGACACCGCTGCGCAGCGGACCTCTCCCAGGGCGCGCTCTGACCGGCATCTCGAGGAATACCGACCCGTGGCGACGAGGGCCCTCCAGGACGGGCAACGGTGTCTGGGGCCCGTTTCCGTCAGAACCCCTCTCCCTCTTGGCGATCCCCTCCTCCTCCTCCTCCTCCTCCTCCTCCTCCTCCTCCTCCTCCTCTCCTTTTTTCTCCTCCTCCTCCTCCTCCTCCTCCTCCTCCTCCTCCTCCTCGTGCATTGTTCCTCGTCGTCCGGTTCTCGGGCCTCCAGCGGCCGGTCGGGACGACCTGGGCACCCTCGGGACGCTCTGGGCGAGGCGCAGCTGCTGGAGAGCATCCCGACGCAGAAAAACACCTGCAGGACCCAGCGAAAGCGTCAAAAGCCTCCAGAACCTCCAGGACGAGCAACGGCGAGTCATCGTCGGAGACTCCGCGGGTGCCGCGTGCGTGGTCGGGGGCGTCCAAGACGGGGGCGTCCAGAAGCAAATCATGGCCCGAGGCATGTGCGCGGCTCCGGAGGGGCCAAGGGACGTGCTGAAACAAGGAACGGACCCATGGAATCTGGGGAAACATCGTGGTCCTGGCCATGGTGTCCCGCCCCCCTACCCAGAGACCCGATGCCTGAACTTCTTACATACGGGGTCCCGGAAGTCTCGACCCTTTGCCCCGGGCCAATCTCGAGCCATGTCTTCACGGTCCCGGAGCGCCACCGTCTTGTTTGTTTTCCAATGCTTTAGATCTCTGGGCGGCACCCTGTGCAGTTGGGCCTCCTGGCGACGGCGAGGTCGCCCGCGGCAGCAATGGGCTATACAGAATGGTATGAGGTCCTGCAAGCATCCTCATTGCGAGTGCTCGGCCTTAGCGACCCACGGCAGGAGCCACGAATGCCTTTGCCGTCCAGCCAACGCGTCCGTCAGGATGCATGGCTTCCTTTCTTTCTTTCGGACGCCCTGGGTCACCACGGTGACAGGCCTAGAAATTGAAACAAGAAGAATGGACAGGAGGAGGAGGAGGAGGAGGAGGAGGAGGAGGAGGAGGAGGAGGAGGAGGAGACCGTAGCCATTTTGGCTCAAGCCCGGGCTCAGGCCGCTTCCAGACGGAGGCTGCGAGCCAGAGCCAGGCGGCCCTCGGCCGCTATCTTCCTTGCCCCCTCGCCCAGAGCAATGGATCCTCCTTGGCGTGCAGGTCGGCCCCGCCGCACAGCCCGCGCTCGGCGCGAGCAGGCTGCGCGTGCGCAGGCCCGGGCCGCACAGACGTTGCTGAAGAGTTTTGCCTCCCTGCACCACAGAGGCTGCCAGGCCACCCGGATTGGTGCAGCACTGGCCGCTGCTTTACGGCCTCTGGTTCCACCTGCTGCCCGTCACGCTGCACCAGCTGCGGAGCCTCCTCCAGTGCCGCCTGCTCCACCACCTCCTCCAGCGCCCATCGAGCCGCCCAAGGACGAGCAGCTGTGCACTCCTGCCGCCATCCTCGAGGAGAGCCTTGGCGAGCACTCCACTCTCGGGCGCAGGCGCAGCACGCCTATCCCGAGCCGGGCGCACTCTGCAGGGGGAAGCTCGTGCCATTCCGCAGCGAGTTCTGTCGCCCCTCCAGCCGCGATGGAGCACGAGGTGCCCGCCGCCGCGACAGTTGAGGCGGAGCCACTGCAGGACAGCCAACGGGCTGCCAAAGGAGCAGCGGACGCAGACCAGCAAGGACCCGCGGGGCAGGCACTTCAGACGGGAAATCCTGCTCGCGTGCTGCTGGAAGGTCAGGCAGTGCGCATCGTGGGCATCAAGGGCCGCACGCTCCTCAATGGCACCGAAGGCGTTTTGGGAACGTATGATACTGGCAGCGACCGTTGGGTCTTCAAATCTGGGTCGGAGGCCTTACGCATTCGCCCATGCAACCTAGAGTGCGTCGGCAAGAGCACCAAGCAGGTTCTCAGGCATGCTTTTTACAAGGCAGCGGAACGATTCCAGTACCACAGCAAGTTCATGACGAATGACGTCTTCGACAGGCTTTACGACTTCGCAGCGAGTCAAGGGCAGCCGGGCGTTGGCATGTTCTTCAGAGATTTGTGCCAGCACGAGCAGATCTTCGACCAGTGGTACGCGCGCATGGGGCCAAGTACTTCCAGTACTTCCTGAGCCCCTTGCACCAGCTCTGAGGTTTAGCGAGTGTGCTGAGTGGACGTGTGTTGCTGGATTCAGCTCGTTTTCCCTCGTCGCCTCGCTGGGCTCGGCTCGTTGCGCTTGGTGTCGGGTGTTCGGGGCTCTTCGTCGCCGTTTATTCTGCAATGTCCGCTTCTTTCTCAGCCCTGAGCCCTGGCGGGCCCGTGGCTCCGCCTGATGCCCTGAGCCCTCGCGGGCCCGTGGCGCAGTCTGCCCCTGCTCTGACAAGGTGTCGGGCCCCCGTTCCTGCCTCGGCTGGCTCCCGGGACCGTTCGCGTGCATTGCTCGCTCTCTGCGCTGTCTCTCTTCGGCCCTGTCCTGCGCCCTTTTTCCCTGCTCCTGATGGGTTTCGCCTCGCGCACATAATCCTGACCGCAAGTCCAAAAAAAAGGAGGAGGACGAGGAGGAGGAGGAGGAGGAGGAGGAGGAGGAGGAGGAGGAGGAGGAGGAGGAGGCAGCGGGGGCGGCCGAGGGGGGCAGCGGCAGCGGCGCGCGCCCGCGCCCCCCCCCGGGGCCTCCAGGTAGGGGTCCAGGAGCCCGGGCTGCTCCTCGGGCGCGCTCGCTCGCTGGCGCGCTCGCTTCGCGGGCGGGCGCCGCGGAGCCAGGCCGGACGTGCCTGCGGCCTGCGGGGGGGGGCAGGGGGAATGCGCCCTCCCCCCCCCTCCTCATCCTCCTCCTCCTCCTCCCTCCTCCTCCTCGTCCTCCTCCTCCTCGTCCTCCTCGTCCTCCTCCTCGTCCTCCTCCTCCTCCTCCTCCTCCTCCTCCTCCTCCTCGTCCTCCTCGTCCTCCTCCTCGTGCTCCTCCCCCCTGTCGCAACTGGCCCGCGGTTGGCCGAAGCGCGCCCAGGGGGCGCGGTGATGCTCTTTTTCGTCGCCGGCTTGCTCTTCTGTCGCCTGGGTGGGGAGCCGCGGCCCGCAGGCTTTTAGGGCAGGACTCACACGTCGCTGCGCCCTCGGACCGACCAGGCACAGCTGGGGGAGCTTTGTGTGCCTCGTCCCACGGTGATGGAACCCATCGTACAGCATGGGCATGCGTAGCACCCCCCGCTGTTGCGGGTAAGAGTAGGGGGGGGCGTGGGGGGGTCGGGCGAGGACGGCGACAGAACAGCAACAACAATAACAACAACAACACCCCCACCACCACCACCAACAACAACACCACCACCACCACATACAACAACACCAACACCAACATCAACACCTCAGTAACAACACCACCAACAACAACACCAGCACCACCATCAGCATCAGCATCAACACCGACAACAGCACCATCAAAAACAACACCAACAACACCAATCACACCGACGCCGACGCCAACACCAACACCAACAACACCACCACCACCACCAAAAACGACAACATCAACAACACCAACAACACCAACACCAACACCAACATCACCAACAACACCACCCCAATCAACATCAACATCGACATCAACATCAACAACGGCATCAACAACACCATTAACAACAACAACAGCACCAACAACACCAAAACCAGCACCAACACCAACATCAACAGCAACAATACCAACAGCAGCACCAACAATAACACCAGCAATAACGACAGCACCAGCACCAACACCAACAACATCATCAATAACACCACCAACCGCACTAACAACAACAACACCAGCAACAACAACAACAACAACAACACCAACACCAACACCACCACCAACAACAACAACACACCTAGCAGAATTCGCCGGACGGACCTCCTATTCTGCCACGCAGCCAGGGATAATGGATGACTGCTCGGCAACCTCGCTCTGATTAGACAGCGTTGGGGACCGTTCGACCGTTCCACGATGTTGGAACTCGGCAGCCAGTGAAGACGTGAACGCCTCGCTGTCACGCCCCAGAAGCGTAGTCCCTGTCACGGTTCCAAAAACAGCCCGCGCCCCCCACGCGGACTAAGAATGGAGGCTCCTGCGGTCGCCCCCTCTGTCTACGATGAAAACTCCTGCTGTAAGACATGTTCTGGCATACAGTCGGGGCGTTGACCTAAGGAACCCTAAATAAGGAACGAGGCCCCTTTTCCCCATGAAATGAACTTCGATTTCCCATGGAAACCCTAGGGAAAACCCAAGGCGACCTGTAAAACAACCAAGGAACGCCGAGCCCCTCCCCAACGAAAAGGGTTCCTTCTTCAAGACCCCTACTGTAGTCTTAAAGGTCTTAGGGCGCCCTCAAACTTCTCTGGGTCCCTGGGGCCCTCGGGGGATCAGGGACTTCCAAAGGGCATCAGCTGGCAGGCCGACTTCTCATGTGATGCGCCTGCTGTAGCCCCCTGAGGGAGCCCACCGTGTCGACGATCTCTCGACAAGAGCGTCGACATCCATGACCCCCCCAGCGGGGGGCAAGGACCCGCTCCAACGGTTGTGGCTGGCCTGCTGCGCGAAGACTGAAGGGGCTAAACGTGGAAATCAACTTTTGGAGGTCCGCGCAGATCTCCGAACGTTTCCCCAAACAGTGCTTGCAGTTAGAGATTCCTACTTCTCCTCTAAGGAAGTGTGCCTGTCTGTCGCTCTGGCGGCTATGCTGCCGCCGTCACCGGCCCGTCGCCGGCTCGTCTCCCAAATGGGGTCCGAGCAGGATGGGGCCGGACGATCGCGCCGCATCGGTGCATCGGCAATGCTTCGGCGATGCATCGCTGACCTCGGCGACGCATCGGCGTGGAGAAAATCGAGCTCCACATCGACCCGCATCGGCGATGCATCGGCGATGTGGCGCGATCCTCCGACCCCGTCCTGCTCGGACACCATCTGGGATGCCTAGGTCCATCCATTCCTCCGTGTGCGCAGGATTGAAGGGTTGCGCTGGGGTGGCCCTGCGCCATGGTGGCCTGGCCAGTGCGTGGCGCACCGCGCGGAGGAGGATGAGGAGAAGGGGGAGCAAGAGAATGAGGAGCAAGAGGAGGAGGAGGAGGAGGATGAGGAGGAGGAGGAGGAGGAGGAGGTGGAGGAGGAGGGGGAGGAGGACCAGTGTAAACCCAAGACTCATCAACGATCTGGGAACACACCCTCCTCCCTCGAAGCTCCATCTCTCTTCACAGGCCCCTACCAAGGTTCATTTTCACTCAGGGAGAAGGTGTGTGAAAATCCTGACGCGTACCGAAACGCCATTGTCAGGACTTCAACATCACGAGTCAACCTGGCTGTCGCGTCTTGACGATCCCGAACCGTGCCAGAACACCATTCCTGGGACTCCAACACCGCGAATCAACGTAACTGCTTCGCCCTGACAATCCTGAATCGCTTCGTAACAAGTTTTCTGGTACGCTTACTATGAATACCAGTGAAACCATTGTGTGAGTTTCAAGGAGTCTCAGCTACAGCCTCGAGGCTGAGCCTCAGCTTCTGGGGGGGTTGCCGGGGTGGCTCTGCCGGGGAAAGGGGGGTGGGTGGGTGGGGGGGGGGGGTGCGAGTTTCCGGCGGATGCGTTTTTTGACACCCCTCACAAGGATCGTGGCCTCCGAGCGGGTTCCGAACTCGAGTACCACCCCTCCCGCACCAAGAAGCTCCGAGGAGGCCTCCAAGAGGCCCCAAGGGGCGCAGAAGAGGCCCCCAACAAGCCCCAAGAGGCTCCCAAGAGACCCCCAAGAGGCCCTCTAGTGGCCCCAAGAGGCCCAAGAGGCCCCCAAGAAGCCCCAAGAGGCGCCCAAGAGGCCCCCAGAAGTCCCAGCCAACCACGAGATCCCAACCAGCATCCATGAGGCCTCTGACCCACCACCCACGCACGGTGGCGGGATAGGCCGACGGCCACTGGATCCGCCGCCCCCTGTGGTCTTGCCACAGGGGTGCACGGCGTGCTGGATGATTCAGTTTTGGTTTTGGTTCTTTTTCTAAAAGAACTCCCCAGTGGGCTTCGGCCCGTCCCGCCGGCCACCCGTAATTTCCCAAAATCGTCTGTCAATGCCTTTGTTGCCCCAACTTGGCCCAAGATGGCCTCCAAGACGGCCAAGATGGCCCAAGATGGCCTCCAAGATGCCTCCCAGACGGCCAAGATGGCCTCCAAGACGGGTAAGATGGCTCCAAGATGCCTCCAAGACGGCCCAAGATGCCCTCCAAGACGGCCAAGATGGCCCCAAGATGCCTCCAAGATGGCCCAAGAGGCCTCCAAGACGTTCTCCAGGAGAGCCCGAAGAGGCCAAAATCATTGGTTTTCCTTAGGTTTTTCAAGGTTGTTTGCGTTTTCTTCTTTTCGGCCTTCCGACGGCCCAAGAGGCCCCCAAGATCGCCCAAGAGGCCTCCAAGAAGGCCCTATGACGGCCCAAGGGCCCCCCAAGACGGCCCCAAGAGCGCCCCAAGACGGCCCAAGAGGCCTCCAAGACGCCCAACATGGCCTCCAAGACGGCCCTGAAGCGCCCCAAGAGGGCCCCAAGACGGCCCAGAGAGGCCCCCAAGACGGCTCCAGACGGCGTCAGACGGACCAGGAACGCCCTAAGACGGCCAAAGAGACCCCCAGGAAGCCCCCAAAGGCCCCCAAGAGGCCCAAGGAGGCCCCCAAGATGCCTCCAAGAGGCCTCGAAGAGGCCCCCAAGAAGCCCCCAACAGACCCCAAGGGTGCCCCAAGAGACTCCTAACAACCCTCATCCTCCTACTCTATTTCTTCCTCTTCCTCTTCCTGTTCATAATCATTCTCTCCCATGTGTTCCCCGAAAGCTTTCCAAACCGACTCGGGGAACTCATGGTCCGATAGCTTGGCCAAGCTCTAATCCAACTTTCGGCCACATCGGCGTCTCCAAAAAGGCAGGGGGCGGCGGTGATTCGCCGTAGGCGTCTTCGATAAATGCTGAGTGAGAGGAGGGGAAGGAAAAAGAGAGGAGGGACGAGGGCGAAGAAGGATCACATCAGTCGGAGCGCCCCGGATCGGCGGCACTGGCCGAAGGCCACTACAATACCAGTGAAACCATTGACATTCATTGAAACGAATGTGCGCGGCACACTTTGAAAAAGGAACCGCCCTCAATCCGTGAAGCTCTTGCAATTTTTGAAAACGCATGTGCGCGGCGCTGGGCGAGAGCCATATTATGAAACCAGCCCACCCTCAATGCGCGAAACCCTTGCAATCAACAAACGAATTTGCGCGGCCCTAAGGCGTAAGCCACATTGAAGACGACCCACCCTCAATCAGTGAAACTCTTGCAACATTTGAAAACGAATGTGCGCGGCGCGAAAACGAGAACCATGGTTTGAAAACCACCCGCCCTCAATCCGTGAAGCTCTTGCAAGTGTTTAAGACGAGTGCGCGCGTCGCTTAACGGCCGCCCTCAACCTGTGACACTGCTGTCAGGTTTCGTTTAAACTTCAAACTCATAAGTTGTAAGGAAGTCTCAGACGATTCCCCCTGCCCGCCCATCCAGCTGACCTCGGGGTGCGACAGGGAGGAGTTATGCATAAGGAAAAGAACTGGAGGAGGAGGAGGAGCAAGAGGAGGAGGAGGAGGAGGCGGAGGAGGATGAGGAGGAGCAGGGGGAGGAGGAGAAGGAGGAGAAGAAGCAAGGGAAGGAGCAAGAGGAGGAGGAGCAAGAGGAGG